CCCCCCCCACACACACAGCACCCCCACCGCAAATGCCACACAGGAAGACCAGCCAGTGCCCCAATGAGGCAAAGCCACGCCCCCAACCGCCGCCCTACACCACCAATGACCACACGTAGACTACCATAGCCGACCCCCCGCCGAAAGCCGGCAGCCACCCCAGTCAAAGTGCCGGCCATCGCAACCAGGAACCTAGATTAAAAGAATCGGAACAGCCCAGGAGGAACCGAAGCACCGGCCCCATCACTGACCGCCCCCAAGGCCCAAAGCCCACCCACAGCCCAGACCCCAACAATGCGCCCCCCCCCCCCATCCCCGACCCCTAGTGTCACACGGAGAAAGGAGGTGTTTGTGAAAGGGGGAAAAAAATAAAAAATAAAAAAATCTATATATGCATAAATAAATTATGAACAGACCCACTTCCTCCTCCTCCCACTCGAATATGGTGTTGATCCATGTTGTTATACAGTGCATTTAAAATGGGGGGATGAGGTGGCGACCGGCACAGACCCACCTCTTGCCCAGAGAGCAAGCGGCGCCCATTCACCCCTCATCTCCACCCAGAACCCTAAATGTCTACATGCTACATATGAGAGTGGGCACAGGTCCGGGGAGGTGGAAATGGTAGTACATCCCACCACCTAAGTGCGATCATGTGCTCACTCCATGTGTCGTGAGAGTGTTATAAGTGAGTGTCTAAGTTGTATATTAAAATTAGGGCCCAGGACCCCACCAGCCACGGAGATGGATGATTCTCCCCGTAGCTCAGTAGTGCACCTTAACCCCAAAACCCTGTTTGAATGGTGGTGTGGTGGAGTGGGCGGAGGAGTACGTCGGGATGGGGAGGTGAACTGAGGTGGCAATGCCCCCCCAGGGGACCAGCTCCCCCACTGACCCCAATAGGCTCCCCCACTCTCCGAGATCCACCAGGGGACAAAGGCTCTAACAGAGATACCTAGGAGGAGGTGGCAGCCGCACCACCAGGGATCCAGGCCACGGACCGGCACATAGCCCCCGAGGACCAACCAGAAGCAGGGCCAGCAACCCAGACCCATCCCGAAACCGTCCAGACGCCCCAACCCGATTCCCAGCCCAACACCCAGCCCCCCAACCAGAGAGGCCACCAAACCCCAACTGGGACAATCAGCCAGGAGTGCCCAAACAGTCAGAGATAGAGCACCACAGCGACCAAGAGCGCCCCCCCCACCCCAAAAAAGCAAAAGACCAGTCCACCCATAACAACACCCACAGCGAGAGCGCCCCATG